GCACATGTAAACTAACTGAAAAAATTGTACAAGTACACTGTCAAAATTCAAGCAGATACCCAAGATTTAGCTGAAGGTAACACCAATAAAACTTCATGGCTAATCCGATGTCAAGAAAAGAAACCCATGACATAAGAAAAAACCCTTCAAGAAACTAATACTTCCTTGCCTGACTCTTTTTTTCTCCTTCAAGGAAGAAGCAATGCCACACTTCTTCTTTATCACCCTGGACTTATTTTCTGAAAATAGTGAGTTAGCACTTAGTATTACAATATCATCTTCTTCTTTGTTTCCTTTCTGAAAACCAAGATATCTCGGGAAGGCAATGGCGCACAATTCAAAACTCAGTTGATAATGGGCCCGTCCTTCTACTACTACACTTAAATACAAGGCTTCTATATGTGTCAGGGTTTGAGCCCATGACGACTGCCCAACTTGCATATCAAACGCTATGCTCTTACCTTTAGACCAAAGCCCTTGAGGCAGTTCTCTAAATGCTATCTAAAAGGTTGCAGAACCAAATTAGGTTTTTCTGTAGACATCTCACATGTGATTGAGCTATCAAAACCACTGAAGAAACTATAGCAACTACTAGCGGAAAAGACAGGCAAAAGATCTCAACCAAGCCTGAGAATAGTAATTTCAAGCTAAACAGAGATAATTATAAGAAACAAATAAGTAAATAAATAAAGTGCCGTCGGCCAGGGAAAATTATGAACACCAGGAAAACTCTAGATTATACAAACGCCAAGGTGTCATAGGATATTAGGATATGAGTCAAAGCATACCAGCATCCTCTGGAAGATCAGAAGTCCACAAGGTGAGGTTGTCCCTTAGAAGCTGCATAATCAAGGTGCTGTCTTTGTAGGAATCCTCATTCAGGCTGTCCAGCTCAGATATTGCTTCATCGAAGGCCTGTTTTGCCAGATGGCATGCCCTGGAGAAAACAGATTATAATCAGCTGAGCCTAGAAACAAGTATGGACACACCGATTAAAAAAAGGTATGGACAGCTTCAAGAAGATGAAAATACAAAAGACAAACCTTTCAGGTGAATTCATGATCTCATAGTAGAAAACAGAGAAATTCAAAGCCAGTCCCAGACGAATGGGATGAGTGGGTGGTAATTCCGCCTCCGCAGCAGTTGTAGCTGACTGCACAAGTTTTAGCAACACACAATAAGTGGAAGCAGACAGACAGGCATATATATCGCCAAACAAATAGGAAATTCATCATCTAAATGCAGCAAACAGAATTGGAGAAAAGAAAAAAGGAAAGAAGCTCTCAATGAAAAAATGCATGTTAATAAAATACAAATCTAACTCCTGTAAGATCAACTTAATTGGCATTGACATACAAAGGGTCTTCACTTTCACCCCAAGTAACCCAAATTGTGGCACATTTTCCATTGTTCTGCAATGGTATTTGCTAATACAAAATACCCCAAATTGTGGCACAAACTTCATTGGTTTATAAAAGAATTTTAAAATATTTAATGGGAAAAAATCTGTAAGAGAGTTAATACCACATTTATGTCTTTTAAACCCCAGTAACTCAACAGTGGCACAAACAAGAATTGGGTTGCAGCCTACTGGTAGCTACTCTGACCCACATCTCTTAGATGCAGGTTCTAATCCATAAAAAAGGCACTCCCTCTTCAACCTTCCTTCCACTATTCACAGGCCTACCGCCACCCAAAAAAGTTTTTAAATAATGGGACACAGACTATCCTGGTCAAAGAGGACTGTGATAATACCCAAGCCAATGTTAACCAAAAGAAAAGTGAGCTCTAAGTTCTGGTGGGGCTTTAAGCGCAAAATGCAAATAAAGTGTGGGCTTTAAGAAAAAGTACTAGTTTCATTCTAAGACAAGTTTTTGAACAAGCAAACTCCTCTCACTTTGCAAGTCATCAGATAATGAATCAACCATTCAATGACAATCAAACTACTTTTACTGCTCAACTTTTTACTTGTATACTTAAGAACTGCTTTGAAGTATATACATATATATTAAAAACAAGTAAAGAAGCACTATTCTCAGAAACAGCGAATATTTGTTTATGACAGATTAGAGACAAGAGAAAAAGTTTAAATTAAAATTACAATTAGAGACACTGATTCTAACCCAAAAATAAAAAAATTCAAGGGATTAATGATAACATCTGGGGCATTTTCCACTATCACGAATAAGGGGGAGCATGGGAACTGACATGTGCGTCACTCTATTTTTGAGAAGCCGGGTCCCAAGCAAACCATATACCTGATATGCTTTCAATGAAAGCTCTGCAACCTCCTTCTTGTCATTGCCAGCTTTAAATTCTGCAAGATAACGATAATAGTCCCCCTTCCTGCAGGCAGAGACAGATCAACTTAACAACTCCAGTTTTCTAAACTTCCCAAAACAACATATATTTAGAACTCAGACCGACAACAAACAGAAATCAGAACCCTCACATCTTGTGGTAAAACACAGTTGATTCGCCTGCAGAGCATGACGGAATTAGATGCTGATCAATGACCACCATAATATCATTGCAAATGTTGGTGAGCTCCGACTCCACCTTTTGCAGGTACTCCTTGATTCGCTTGACATTTTGCTCATTTCCTCTAGATTCTTCCTTCTGCTCAATAGAGGACAAGATCCTCCAAGATGCTCTCCTAGAACCTACCACATTCTTATAACCAACAGAAAGAAGATTCCTTTCCTCCACAGTCAATTCAACATCCATGTTTGCGACATTCTTCATTGCTTCAACCATTTCTGTACCACAATTCACAATTCCTTAAAATCTCAACCAATTACATAAAATATGAAACCTAGTTACATTTTCCATGCATATAACCAAACAGATCAATAAAAGGTAAATCTGTATAGAACTTCCAAGCAGATAAAAAACATTTGCTAACATATTAATTCTGAATACATTTATTAAAAATCCTTAATACATCAAAAGCACCAATTGTATCATATTGACGAAATCTCAAATTCCAAGTAACTGAAAATTCATTTGAGTAATTCAACATTCTTCAAGCGCATCAACCCTCTCCGTACAAATCCTTAAAGGTAATAAATTCCTACAACCTACATAACACAATCAGAGCTAATTGAATTTTTATTGCATTTAACCAAAGTGGATCAACAAAAGTTTACGTGTGCTCAACTGCTGACCTAAGTCAGCTTGCTGATATATGAAACTTCAAAAGAACCAATTGTTGCATCTCAATAAAATTGACTTATGAGTAATTCAACCTTCAATCGGATCAACCATCTCTGTACTAAAGTACTACAACCTACATAAAATGACTAGAGTCTAACTGCATTTAACCAAAACGGATCAACAAAAGTTAATCCATGCTGACCTAAGTCCATTTACTAATATATAAAACTTTAAAACATCGAAGGCAACAAGCGCAGCATTCCAGTAAAAATTTACATTCTGAGCAACAAAAACATAACTAACAGTTCCATGTCCGAACCTTTTCTGAGAAATCATATGAGAGATACATCAAATTAAAGCATATACTCAAAAGAAACAGAAACAATAACAGATCTACACACAGTAAAAAGTAGAAACCCTAACCATCGTAGCGTTCGGCTTGCTCAGCGAGCTTAGCGACGTAGACGAAGTTCTCACGTTCTTTGGAAGAAGCCATTTCCGATCTCTCTCAAATTGAAATCAAAGATTTTTTGTACTGAAGACACAGATTTTCCTCTATTCTCTCCCTTTTTGCTTCTCTGGTTCTGTGTGAATGTGCTTTCTCGATGACGATTTTACGGCAGTAGCTACAGTGAGTGGAGTTTTATCTAACAAGGGCTTCCTTAAAAGGGAAATAGCACTTGTCATCCTTTAACTTTTGTTTTCTACTAGAATAGCCCCTAGAGAAGTTCAAATTAAATTTAACCCCTCCAAAATATAATTTTTACATGACTGTCCTGTTAATTTGGGACAAATAAAATATGTGGGAATACATTGAAACCTTTAAACTTCCATAAAACTTTAGGAGTCGTTTGGTAGCTGATTAGAGTTATGCAGGTATTTTTAATATAGGGATTAGTTATGAGTGAATTTATGTATAATTTTATACAAATTTTTCACGTTTTATCCTGCATAAAATAATTCATAGATTCTCTCATAACTTATACATGTATTAGTTATGCAGATTTCTAAATTATCAACCAAAACGTTAAGTTAAACATAAATTAGTACATGGATAACTTGTTTCTCATCCAGCTACCAAGTGTGCCCTTAGTGCACTAACTTCAATCAAGATCTTACTAGGCTAAAGGAAAGCAGGAATAATATGCACAAATTACTCAAGTAATCAACTTCACCATTAACTCTCTCATACACTTGCCAAAAGCCAAAACATAGCCAAAGTCAATAAATCAAGTGCAACATAGCTAATTAGGTAATGAAGATCTTTTGTTCTTCCTTTCTTTCTTCTGCAACCATTTCCCTTTCATTTTTGACACGTAAATGACTCCTCACAAGCATCTCCAACACAATTATTTGTCCATTTATCAGGTAAAACTAAGCTCTCTTTGTAATAATCAACATAACGCGGATTGTAACACCAACCATTTGTAGAATAGTCATTGGCCTCACCAATTCATGAGTAACCATAATCATCACGAAGAGAAATATAATTTCGTGTAAAGTAACGAGACCTAATACTGAACTTTTTCACCCATGAATCTGCTGCACCATACTCTCTCATCGAAGGATTGACTTTATTGGTAGTTTTATGAAGATGTCAATCATCACTTCTTGTGGCAAATAATCTGACATTTTTTCTTATCCTCAAATAGGTATCTCTTCTAGTGGTTAACAAGTGTGTGTATTTGTTCAGTGTTCACTTTGAACACACAAAAGCCTTTTGGAAGTCCAATGTGGTACTCTTGGGATGATACAAAAACACTTCTAGTTCTCTGTTTGAGACTCTTCAGTTCTAAAAAAGAATTGTATAGGCCAAAGAACCATTTCTCCGCACACTTTCTAAATGATCAACATCAGTAACAACAATATGATTTAAAGTGTGTGACTGTAGCTACAAAATCAATTTACTTCTATGTTAGTGGCTAACCTGTTCTTGGATCCAAATAGATAAATAAATATTTACTATAATGGATGAAAAAAATTATTATTGCTGAAATTTAATTTGGCAGCAACTCACGTCATGAACAGCATCTGGGATCAGTTTCATTTGGTTTTCACCTGTAAAATTGAAAAGCAAAATCACTTCCAATGGAAATGGTTTCATATATCATATTCATAACAAAAATTAGCATGAATAGTTCATTGCACCTTTCTATCAATAGCCCAGACAACATCTGTGGTACTGTTAGGGAGAAAATATGTACCTAAAACAATAAAAGTTTGGACTTGCTTTTCCTATTTTTTTTTAGATAAGGGTAACTTTGTATTCACAAAAGATTCATCATCCAAGAGATGACGAATTGGAAACTTACATCCCATAGTGTGATGAGCACACCTCCATGATGTTAATCAGATTACAAGTTTCCTAAGAAATCAACTAATTCTACCCCATCCCCCACCAAGTCTTGTTTACACCAAAAAATAGAAGACTATTACAGTTTGCTTTAATCCTCTGAAAATTGATTTTCTGTCCTTCAAAACACCTAGCATTCCTTTCCTTCCATATAGACCACCAGATGCATGCTGGGATGAGCTTCCACCATTCTTCCTCTTGCCTCTACTTCCAACTCCTGGCCAGCTGTTCAGGACCTCCAAAGTAGTCTTTGGCATCACCCAACTAATCCTCAGACTGCACAAAAACGTATTCCACAACCTTGTAGCGGTTTGACAGTGAATGAACAGATGATTATTCCACAATCATTAGACCATCCCCCACACTGATGCATATGTTGTTCCTGAAGTGTGGCCATAATCTTCTAATGGTCTTCCAAACACTACATCCAAAAGTGCCCATAACCTCTTTAGTTGTCCATTGATTAAATAAACCATATTTGCCTGCAATGAATCTTCTCCATAAGGCTTTGTCTTCAGTACAAAATCTCCATAACCATTTCTGAAGTAGACAGCTATTCTGTAGACTCAGGTTCTTCAGGCCTAAGCCTCCTTGGATTCTATTGAGTGTGATTGACTCCCACTTTACCAGATTATAGCCTCCCTTTTCCTTGTTACCCTGCCATAGAAAAGTTCTCCGTAGCCTATTAATTTTCTTCTCAATGTTCTTGGGGAATGGAAATAAGCTCATCATGTAGGTGGGCAGTTAAGCACCAATATTTGTTTTGCCTTTCTTTTGTTAAGAGCACTACTTCAGCTGAGCAATCTGAGAAGAAAAAACCAAATTTGACATAAAAATTGGAAATTGAAAGAACAAACGAATAGGAAAGAGTAAGAAAGCTCTTCTCTGTGTTGGAGCAACAATGTTCTGGGTGTAGCAGGCATGAAAGGCCTATCAGTGGAATGTAGCTGATGACATGAACAACTGAAATAAGCAAAGAAAAATATTGTCAAAAGGAAATATCAATATTGACCTTGGTTGTAACATCAAGTTTCACTTATTATACGTCGTGTACAAGTAGAAAGAATATCAGAATAAGCAGAACAGGCTCACATACCTTAACAGAAGTTTGGAGCCGGTGTAAACCAAAGTCTTGGCAGAAGATCATTGCTGAACAAGCGGTTGTGCCAACGTCTAAGAGCTCGTTGAAATATCGCTTGTTCAACAATAGTTGTGCTGTCAGGGGAACTATAGTTTAGCTTATGGTAGATCCAATGGTCACTCTTTCAGAATTCTGAAGGGAAGAAGATAAATCAGTTGGTTAATAATTATATATGTAGATTATGTCTAATGGAGGAAAATGTTGCCAGTAAAATAAGCAGTGATATGAAGTGACCAAGGACGGTTCTCAAAGTCATTCAGTTTACGTGGAGTCAAGGTTGTGATCCGAGAAGAAGTTACTGAACTGTAATGGTTGATAAATAGTACACTATATTTGGCATTCGGTGTTAAATTATCTTAATCGTATGAATGGCACAACAAAATCCAAGAGGCTCATATTCAAATCATTTTGCACAACAAAATTTACAATTCAAATCCTTTAAAATGGTACATAGTTTGAGCCTAGTTCAATATTCAGAGCAGTTCTTTTATTTTGCCGGTGACCTGGACACTCTAAAAGGTGTAAGGAGTGAAAGAATGAGAACACATACTGGTATTAATTAAACATGAGAGTATTCACTCTGTTTGTATTATTGTAGCCCATCATTTCACAATTAATTGTATTATATTGTAGATACAACGTTTGGATAAATTGTAACGTTTGTTGTTGTTTAATAATATTTTTCACGTTTTGTTCAACTGTATCGTGTTGTATTGTAACAGGTAAGTTTACTACAATACCCTAAACTATTGTATGCATTAAATTTATCACCAATTTTGGAAAAACAATTAAGACATTGTATTTCTGCTAATTTTTTTGCGGACTTCCTTGCTTACACTGTATCAACATAAACTACTCAATAGCACATGCTACATAGAATAGCATCAGCTTGACTTCACAAAAAAAAAAAGAGACATGCAACTCAAAGACAATTATTTTCAAAAAGAATTTGAAAAGATTCTTTTCTTTTGGGATCAAGCATATCATGTATGGTCCAGAACTTATAACAAAGTAAGTGTTTTCCAACAAGTCATGTTATTAATTGTTAATGGTCCAGGTTCTCTTAGCATCTATACTATTATTCGCGTGTTAAAGTTCATACTAATAAATATAGTGATGAAAATAAGGAAATGCAAGTAAGGTTCTCCATAAACTGAGATATAGTTAAAGCAGAATAATAACTTCAAGAATATAGTTATGGACAAAAAAAGTACCTGTATTTCGAAACAAGGGCAGAAACCTGAGCAAATAAAATAGTTAACTATGAAAAAAAGAAAAAGAGTGCAAACGTAGGGTATGGGTATTTCAGTGGAGTTAAATAATATAGGGTAAAGGGTAAAATAGAATTATGAAATATTAAGTAAGGACATAATTTGAAAGAGAAATTAGGTAACGACGTGATCACACCATATAAAGTCATTACATAAAAGGGCGCTTTTCACTGTTACGTAATGACAGAATTAGCAATATAATATAATATATTTTAGTTAACAATCAAAATAAACATTGTATATACGATACAACAATACAAACACTATGTAAAACAAACCTTTAGTAATGGACGGCTTGGCTGTATTGCAGTTTTTATTACAAGCATCTGATGTAGAACCTAACATAAAAATATTTGTCAATATATATTAATGATTTTTTGTAGATTTGGCTAAAGTTATGACAACTTTCAGTAACTTACCTTCCTCATAGATAGAATGAAGACTTCCTATGTCAAAAGCGGGAAAGGAGGGAAGCTCAGTAACTGCGTAGATCAGGCAATGATCAGAATAGTAAGTGAAAAGGCATATCCATGCAGAGGAAGAAATACTCATTTGCACAAAACGGTGAAATAGAGTTTGTGTTTTTTTGAAAAAGGGTAATTGTAAAACGGTGAAACAGTGTGTTCTATCCAGAGTTCAATAAATTTTAGATCTGATATGTTAACTAGTTTTGGAAGTCTAGCAAGAGTTTTTCATATTAAGAATACGCTTTTCATTAGCTATCATAAGTTGGTAGAGTTCACGGCACCTAAAATTTCTATCAGCTTATTTCTTATCAGAGTTGGGGCATTAGCTTGTTTGTCCAGCATCCGTGGATATTAAACTTGTTGCTCCCAAACTTTTTGCTGCAAGTGTTCTACCCCAGTGTTATCAAAGGCGAAAAGCGCAAAAAAGCTCTAAGGTCCGTTGGAACTTTAAGCGCAGAGCACAAATAAAGTGTGGGCTTCAATGAAAAAAGGCGCAAAGGGAGAAAAGAATACAAATATATATGTTTAGTCCAAGACTAATAGTTATAAACATGAATGACTAACATATGACCAAAGAAATTGAAAAAGATCATGATAAAGTGAAATATTAATTGTTTAGTGTCACTTCTTCAGAAGAGGCTCATTGGCAAGGAAAAGTTTGCCTTAAAACCTTGATGACGACACTGAAGCGCACATAAAGCGAGGCGAAGCGCTCAACACGTTTTGAGCCTCACTTCAGGGCTTAAGCGCGCCTTTGACTACACTGTTCTACCCTCTTTACTACTGTTGGACCTGTTTCCCCTAACAATTTATCAAATTAGTATTATTATACGGAAAATTTTGGATAAAGAAAATCTAAAGCAATAAAGTTAACTTTAAACGGACAAGATTTTTGATCAAAAAAACTTCAAAAGTCATGCCACATATTTAGAAAGAAGATCAAGGAGAGAAATGCGTAGTTATCCATGCAATCAAGCCTAAGCTTGATCAAGACTTTAGCCAAACACTTTATCTGTAAGTTCAACTCTTTCCTCTACTTCACCTTTTAACCCCGAAGTCGGTAGAAACAAACTAAACTATTGGGAAAATGAAAATCAACCAAACTATCAGCAGAGAAACCAAGTACCAAGTTAAAATACAAATTTAAACCTTTAAATGCAAATAGATAATCCACGGAACCTGATAACATGATATGGAAACATCATCAGGATGGACTATTCTTAATAAATGGGGTGTACAATAGGAGGTTGACTAAAGTAACAGAGAGGTCAACAGGACCCTGGAAGTCTGTATGGAAAAATGTGGCACCAATTAAGTTGAAATGCTTCACCTGGCTAGTAGTCAGAAGAGCTATATCTTGTCGGACTCATGACGCACTACAGAAAAGGGAAACCTACATTGCTTCAAGATGCTCATCATGTAAGGAGGCTTTAGAGACAAACAACCACCTTTTCCTACATCGTAAGAGTTACAGCACAAGGGTGGGCATCATTCGTCAATTTAGCTAAGGTGAACTGGTCTATGCCAGAGCATACTGCTAATCTTTTAAGTTGTTGGATTAGGATAGGAGGTAGCAAGTGCCAGAAGATTTGGTGGAAAACAATACCTGCCTGTATTTGGTGGAACATTTGGAAGAAGAGAACTGAGAGGATTTTTGAAGGCAAAGAGAGCTCCGTATAGAAGATCAAGTGGAAAGTCATAACTTCTTTATGTTCTTGGTGTAAAGAACAATGTATAGAAGAGGAAGTTCAGTTACTTGACTTCATGGGATTACTGCAATTAGTTTCTATAAAGTATAATTTTTTGGAGGTGGCCAGTATTAGGGAATGCTCAGGAATAAAAAGTTACTGGTTCAAAAGAACGCAAACAAAACCAGTTCACAGGCATGGTGATGAAGAAGCCAACTGCAAAAGAAGAGTGAGGAGGCCAGAGATGTTCTAGAGTACAAAGAAGCTTCAGAAACCTTGGCAGCGGAAGATAGAATAGGAAACAAAAAAAATGCAGTGTAAAAACCTGGAAGAGAAAACGGAGGAACCTAGCAAGATCCAGATGTTGCATTATAAAGCAAATGGCCAGGCAGGCATGTTGACAAAACAGAGGCCTGAAGCAGGAAACAGTTGCTTCTCATATGAGAGAAATGTACAATTTACCTACTAATGTTTTGTCTAATGGCCGAATGCCCCATGATGTTTTCTGGGCTCCTCCTTCAAGGCCTCCTCCATCTTATTTATCGACTTACTTGAATTATACTTATTAGTTACCCTTTTTCAGAAATTTCTAGTTCTCTTTGAGTGTACAAGGAGGGCCGGTTATTCACCTAGACTAACTGAATTAGGAATTCCACCAAGTTCTTGAACACATGCTGATATGAAATTAATGCACTGTATTTGGCTTTTGAAAGAAGGAAAGATCTCTATATCTTTACCTTCTCGTTTTTCATCTTATCTTAGAATCTAAAGATCGATGATATACCTTTCATTTTTTTTAAATCCTTCTCTTCTTAGTTGCTCATCTTTCTGGGAATCTAATGGTCGTAGACTACCTACTTGTGGCTATGTTGAAGAATTATTTACCCCTAGCAGTAGCAAGGACCCTTGATCCAAGTGTCTTTTGAAAACAACCTCTCTAACTCCACGAGGTAGTGGTAAGGTCTGTGTACACGCTACCCTCCCCAGACCCCACTTTGTGAGATTTTACTGGGTATGTTGTTGTTGTTAGTAGCAAGAACATGCAACTTTCAAAGGGGTTACCAACCACACGAATCGCTATAACAAACCCTCACTTTACTTTATGGATAGCGTTTGTTCTCTTTCAATAAACAAATTGAGAAATTGGGGAGAAAGAAGAAAGCTAAATTTGGTGATGACCTAAAAGCCATTGGACCCTATACCTCACTGACCAAAGACAAAGGTGCATTGTATTGGACTGAAGTATGACCACTGTATACCTGTGTGACTGTGTCATTGACAAATATAAGCCAGTAAAGTACACATCATTTTGTAGCAAGTTTCGTGCAGAATGAGCAAAATAAAAATAATGCTAAATGAGGAAATACCAGACAAAGAAACCCAAACAGTTTCCTTTCTAGAAGCAAATATACTTCTGCAAAGACTGGTTGCATAAAATTTCTAGCTAGTACATCAAAAGAACCCCTAGCGCAACTGCATGTTAATGGCAACTGAAATTGAAATTTCATCTAAGACGAAGACTAAACTCCTATCAGCAAGATGTAGAAGAGAAGAGGAAGATGAATGAACCAGCGAGGATAAGCCAATCACAACTTGTTGTAAGATCAACAAAATAGAAAGAAATGCATGTGATCATGACAACTAAATTCAGTTCATAAGTGGTCTTTAGAATTACTACCTATAAATTGGCTAGAAACAGTAATCAGTTAGTCTGCAAACCACAATCCAAGACTATTCTACCATTCTTAATCCAAAAGTTTAGCACCCAAGAGCAAATGTGCACTTTAATTTGTGTAGTGACAGGCAATTGTTGGATCTGTGATTACGGTTTATTAGACTGTGTGAGTTATGCCTATTTCCCTAAAATAACCGTTATGTTGCTGTGAAGGAAGAACGATCACAAGGCATTTGAAGATAACCTGAAAGACTGTTCCAGCATGTACTGTTTGGGTTTTTTGGAGTAATAACAGCTATGCTACGGGCGCTACCCAAGGGGGGAAACACAACAGATATCCTCTAACAAATCCAATTTCAGCAAATAGACGATGTAAAAGTTTTCTAGTATACTAAAAAACCCAAGGTGCCAAGATAAACACACAAACCTTGAAGTATCATGCACCAAACATTAGATATATAAACACACAAACCTTAGAAGTATCATGCACCAAACATTAGATAGATAAACGCACAAACCTTAGAAGTATCATGCACCAAACATCTATCAAGAAAGTAATTAAGACAAGTATTTACAGTCTGTCTTTAAAACAAAGAGTTTCAGTACCCTAGAGTATAAATGTGCCATACACTTCTGGCTCATGGAAGCTTTGACCTTCCAATACATCAAAAGAGGTCTTCATTGTCAGATTGAACCCTGCAAAATAATGTAATGTTTCCATGAAATTGAGAAGACTTTTAAGAGAAAATAAGTTGGCATATGCCTAAGAGATCAACACCTAAACTTCAGTGAACTAACTTCAATCAAAAACTTACTGAGCTAAAGGACTTCAAGTGCAACATAGCTAATTAATTGGACAATGAAGGATCTTTGACTTGCTTGATCTTCCTTCCTTTCTTCCGCAACCATTTCCCTTTCATTTTTGACACGTAAAGCAATCCACTCATGTGCAAAAGAGATGCAATCCGCATTCTATATTTAGATTTTTCCCTTGAGATCCTTCTTTTCCCATCTTTGGGCTCTCTCTTCCATAAATTGGATGACTCCTCACAAGCATCGACAACACAATTATTTGTCCATCTATCAGGTAAAACAAGGCTCTCTTTGTAATAATTAACATAACGCGGATTGTAACACCAATCATTTGATGAGTTACCAATGTCAGCATCTTTAAACCTTTCACCTGTATGATCAACTGAAACCAATAATCTTCGGTTACCTTCCCATAAGATTTCATCATTTTTCCTTATAGCCATTGGCTTCAGAAATTCATTAGCAATCTCAAGCTCAGTTGGAGCAGCGCTTCCAGAATAAGGTGTCCAGAAAATGTCATCACGAAGAGGAATATGTTGTGCAAACTGATTATTTTGGATGCTGAATTGTTTCACCCATGAGTCTGGTGCACCATACTCTTTCATCATCCAAATATCAATAGGTTCATGTTTGTCATAGTTATTATCAACCAAACAAAGAGATTCCTCTGACACAAAAAGGAACATTTCATCATAGTGTGACCGTGACTCATTGATTAAACTACTCGGCAATATCATCTCTGAGAATGTCTCATCATGCATGTTGAATAAAACAATCACATTCACAAATGATAATGCATCCCATTTGGAAGCAATCCAATGAGAAGCTTCATTTACATACGCCTGTGATGTAGTGGCAAGGAATAGGCAAGACAGAGAGACATGACTAATGTCTTCCCAAACACCAGTACTTAACTTATAAAGATCAACATGAGGTGGCAACGGATGAGACCAAGTGTGTACTACTCTTACCACCTTGTAGTCATTGGTAACATGATCAAAACCAAACCCCAATGCATAAGCAAATGTATCACATTTCTCACATGTATAAATTTGTTCTGGGAGTTCTACAGGCTTTCTGATAGATGGGTTCCAAAAGTAGAAATGATTCAAGTAATTCAATTGGTCGGCAGCAGCAAGGCACACAATCCCATTACAACTGCCCACAATAGTAACGACACCGTTACTGCACTTAAATGAAAAATCTAAGTGGTTATTTTGATCCAATTTCTCATTATAACGGAATAAAGCATAAATATCTATTTCTGTGTTTCCAGAGTAATTTTGAATCAGCATGTGATCATCTTGTTTCCGATTGAGATGCGTAGAGATAAAATTAGGGCTAGTAAGAAGAGAGTACCATGACTTGCAAACACTTGTGCATAGAAGGATTGATTTGATTGGTAACCTTGTGAAGATCTTAATCATCAAGTCTTTTGGCACATAATCCGACATTTCTCTCCCGCGGCGAATCTGTTCAACTGAATTGAATGTCTCTGTTCTTCGAGAGCTAAAAAAAACTAACTCCACTCTTCTACACCTTCGTGGTTGAACCCTAAAATCTGCTGCTAATTTATTTGTGCAGCTTCATATCTCGATTATCTGTTTCTAGTTTAACACAAAACTTTTTTGAAGTACAATGTGGTACTTTCAGGAATAAAAAAGGTTAAAACTGATAGAGAAATATCCTTTATTGATCTATTGGCCCCAAAATATTCTTGACATCAATCTTTGTATCCTTTTATTACCTTTATTAGATTCACCGCACGTGCTTTGCACGTTATGTCTATTCTTGAGCACGTGTATGTCTATTCTTGAGATCCACGTAACCGTGAAATAACGTGACACCGACACTATATAATTCGATTCACGTAACCACGAAATAACGCGACACTGACACTTTATATAATTTGTAAGTTGCTAAGCTCGAATCAACATTTGGGTCTCGGATTTATGTAAAGAAATACAAGTACCTTTCAGTTGTACCAAGTCACTTGTATCCTAATTTTTAATAGTTTAAGTCTACATGAAAGTAGCGTGTTCTACGGTATTTACATGGTGATGATCATCTCATCTCTTATTCAACTGAACCTATGAATACAGCCAATGAACTTTCCATTAGCTAATCATGCAGTGCATACTTACTTTGTGGGCACTTAGACACCTTGAATTTTTAAATTTTTGAATTTTTGGAAAGAAACTAACAAGAAGTGATAATTAGGAGTAAACGTATTAAATTAAGTATTCTATTCCCACTTTATCATTGTAACGGAACAAAGCATAAATATCAATTTCTGTGTTTCCAGAGTAATTTTGAATCAGAATGTGATCATATTGTTTCCATTAAGATGCGTAGAGATAAAATTAGGGCTAGTAAGAAGAGAATACCATGACTTGCTAACACTTGTGCATCAAAGGATTGATTTGATTGGTAATCTTGTGAAGATCTTAATCATCAATTATTTTGGCATATAATCCGACATTTCTCTCCGGCGGCGAATCTGTTCAACTGAATAGAATTCTCTGTTCTTCGAGAGCTAAACAAACTCCACTCTTCTACACCTTCCTGGTAGAACCCTAAATCTGCTGCTAATTTATTTGTGCAGCTTCATATCTCCATTATATTTCCAGCTTTACACTAACTTTTTGGAGTACAATGTGGTACTTTCGGGAAACAAAAAAGGTTAAAACTGATAGAAAAATATCCTCTATTAATCTATTGGCCCAAAATATTCTTAGCGAACCTTTATTAGATTCGTGTGTTGTACATGTACGTCTATTATTGCACGTGTGTATATTTATTGGTGCACGTGTATGTTTATTCTTGAGATTGATATAATCGTGAAATAGTATCCAAACGTCTTTTACAAAGTTTTTAATTAGTGTCATTGAGAACTTGCGCTAACGCTTTATATAATTTGTAAATTTCTAAGTCCAACTCAACACTTGGGTCTCGTATATACGCAAAGAAATACAAATTACCTTTCAATAATACCAACTCACTTGTATCCTAATTTTTAATAATTAAGTCTACATGAAAGTAGCGTATTTTTCAATATTTGCATGGTGATAATCATCTCGTTTCTTATTCAATCGAACTTATGAATACCTAACCAATGAGTTTTTCATTAGTTAATCATAGCACATACTTATTTTTGTGGGTGATTACACTCCTTAAATTTTTCAATTTTTGGGAAGAGATTAACCGCCACAAGAGACTACGAAGCGATATATAATTAGGTGTGAGCGTATTAAATTAAGTATATATTCAAATTTCATCCACAAAAATGAGAGTGTGGTAACAATTTATGTACATATAAGGAAACAGGGAATATTGAAGCGTATATGAGTGTGTCATTTAAATTTGACTTTTTATTTTTAATTTAAAAACTATTTTTTTAAGTCAATCCAAACGGGCTCTTACACTTAATAATTGAACTTATATATAAGATACTCAAAAAACATCAAACAACAATATTACATAATATTACAACCACGAGGATTCTCATCACTAAATGCATCACCAACACGACTACCAAATGTGTTTGAATTGCCCCTGTAAAGACTATAGGCACGGCCATAGTTATCGTAGCCGTGTTTGCGATAGTTATAGGCGGAAGCCGGTGGTTCTCCGGCGTAATAAGTGGCCGGACCACTGCTGCCTTGTTGTTGATAATAATGATCAGTGACATAACTAGGGTTATTTCTCATCTCAGGATTATGAGGAAATTGCCATATTTCAGCTCTTTTACCAGTTCTTCTAACTGTTTTGAGTATTTTCTTTTGATCAGCCCATCCTGTTACTGTCACTTTTTGCATAGCCATATCTATTTCTACATTATCAACACCTGAATTTGATCGTCAAAAAGTATGTTGAAATATAATTAACTAATAAAAATGTGTGTTTTCTGTAACACCTTGGTCACATACTTTAACATGGTATCAGAGCAGACAGAAGTTTTGAGATCGAATCTATTGTGAATATAGTGCATATAAGTATATTACCTTTAACTTTCTCGAGAGATTTTCTGACCTTGCTCTCACATCCGGCACAATCCATATGTACTCTCATCTCTGTCATCTGTACTCAACCAAAACATAGTACTTATTAAGGCATATAAAATTGGTTCAAAATTTTTCGTTACGATCGAATTATATATAGATTATAGAGAAAAATTAAAGATAGAGGAGATAGTGATTACCGTTGTCATCTTCAAGCTCTTGATGAACCTTAGATATGTTCTTTTTATGTTTCTTTAGCTACAAAAATATAAAGCTTCTGCAACATGCAACATTTAGTATCCAAAACTTTGGCTTATAAAGACTTGATATATGTTTATAAATAATTATATTTCATTCCTTCCTTCTTTTCTCAGAGGCGAAGTCAGAATTTTAATTTGGTGTATTCTGAATTTTATAACAACGATTCAAGTGTCAATAATTGAGTTCTAAACTTAATATTATACATATTTAGTTATATTATTTAAACAAAAGTTACTGAGTTCGACTGAATCTGTACCCAGACTTCTAGCTCCGCGTCTACTCCTTCTCCGTTTCCCACGTTCTCTCCTACTTAAGAAAATAATATATGTCACCGACTTGTCTCTTCTTTGCTATTGCAGCAACAGAGGGTGCAAATGGGAATATGATTAATGCTTGAGCTGTCATTTAACATGTAACGTAGGATTTATTAGTATGATTGCTTGAGCAATTAGAAAAGTTTAAGTACTTTGACTTTGATTAATAATATTTAAAAAAATATTGAAATGGGAATTTAGATAATTATTTTTTAAGAATATTGAAACAGAGTAATCAAAATACAGTAATTACATGTGAAGGCGGAATTAGCGTTGAAAAAGTGCATGTGGAACAGGCGTCGATTGCGATTTTTGCTTCCTCTGTTGTCGCACGTCTATGGTTTTGGGGCGCTGCTGCAGCTTCAATAGCACCACTTCGATTACAATTTACAATTTACTACACAATGCGTTATAATGGAAATAAATTTAGGTGATGGGCCAAATAAACGAATTGATTATTAATTTGCATAAAGATTGCTTGAACTGAAATGAACTAGATCAAGATAAATAAGTAAATAAATAATGGCTCGTAACAATTAACCCAACTTGTCCAGCTTCAACCAAGAAACTAAAACGTGACTCGATGCAAATTATATTTGTATGTGTCTCTCATTTGTTTGCATGTGTAGTATTTCGATTGCAACTGTCGTGGGCAGGGGTGGACCCATATGAGTTCCAAGTATTTTAACTATAATCAAGGGTATTTTGAAGCTAAAAGGTGGATGAAGTGTAGTTTTGTACCATTTCGCAAGGATATTTTAGGCCCTTTCTAAATTACAAATTAACTTTACATTCTCATGTCCTATCATTATAATTAATAAAAGTTGAATAACATAGCTAACAAAATTATATCTACATTAATTTCTTGAGTAGTGTATATATATGTTAATTTCCTTTTCTATTTTTTATTTTCAAAAAATATCATGGCCTTAAAACTTTTACATTCTCATGTCCTATCATTATAATTAATAAAAGTTGAATAACATAGCTACAAAATTATAATCTACATAATTTCTTGAGTAGTGTATATATATGTTAATTTCCTTTTCTATTTTATTTTCAAAAATATCATGGCCTTAAAACTTTACATTCGTCATGTCCTATCATTATAATTAATAAAAGTTGAATAACATAGCTAACAAAATTATATCTACATTAATTTCTTGAGTAGTGTATATATATGTTAATTCCTTTTCTATTTTTATTTTCAAAAATATCCCGGCCTTAAAACTTTACATTCTCATGTCCTATCATTATAATTAATAAAAGTTGAATAACATAGCTACAAAATTATATCTACATAATCTCTTGAGTAGTGTATATATATATGTATGTTAATTTCCTTTTCTATTTTTATTTTCAAAAATATCCTGGCCTTAAAACATGATAAGTTAACCTTACAACAACAACAACAAAAACAAAAACAAAAAAAATAAAATTAACTAATCAAGTAAAAACTTTAAAGAATATTTAGTTATGAGTTAAAAGAGGAAAGAAGGACCATGTTATCAACATAACATAATTCAACTCTCCAAAACCTACAAAGAGAAGAAAAGAGTAAAATGAATCAGATTCCTTAGAAACTACAAAAAGAAGCAATAAAAAAAATTCTCAAGAAACTACAAAGAGAAGCAAAAGAGAAAAAATAATCATTTTTTCTAAAAAATTTCATGATTTGTATCATCAAGAATCTAAAAATGAAAATATTAAATGTATAATTGCAATAGAAAAGTCAAACATTCAAGAATGTCTAACATTAATATTCTCTAGAAACTACAAAGAGAAGCTTTAGAAAAATAAATCATTTTTTCTAAAAAAAACACATGATTCATATAATCAAGAATAAAAAAATAACAACTACATATATAATTACAATAGAAAAAAATGATAATTATATTATGCATGTCAAATCATTTTACCTCGTAAAATCAAATTATACAAGTATGTCTAACATTCTTATTTATACATCTCTCTCCTGCAAAATCAGATCAAAGAAGATAAAAAATTGACCAACCAAAGAGATAAATGATAAAGAATAAGAAAAATAATAATAAAATAATCATCATATATGTCTTAATTTTTTTTATAAGTGTGATTTTAAGGAGTTATAAATTTGTATATTAAATAATTTGAAGGTTATGAATATGAAAAATCGGGAGTTATAGACATTACTAAATGAATTAAGAGTTGAATTTATATAATTGAAGAGGTATGAATTAAGGAGATGATTTTATAAAATAAAATAATTAGAAAAAATTAGAGAAGATGTAAAAAAAAACACAAAACAGAAAAAAGATAAATAGGATCCTTGACCATTGATGGAAAAGCTCTACTGGACATACTACTAGTGATTCATGTGTAAACTAATAACTCTCGAAGCCATTCGAGTGGCGTTGTTATCAATTTAAGTACCATATGTTGATTGAAGCTTTCAGACCTCCATAAGATTGTTAACAGTGGCGGATCCAGAAATTTTATTTCATGGGTGCTCAATTATTTTTAGTTTGAGAATTGCTATATAAAATGGGTGTTTAGTTAATACATTTGAATGAATTATTAGATATTACAAACAAATATTAGTGTTAATTGCAAAAAGCAATGGGTGCTTAAGCACCCATAATCCATAACATACATCCGCCACTGGTTGTTAAGAGCCACTAACCAAAAGGAAGTTACTGCTGCCTGAGCTATCTAGAGCACATGAGTGTATTGCGAACAAGAAATTTGATAGTATGACCACCATCAAAATTCAGTATCTCAAGACACTTATGCAAAGCTGCATCATTTACCAACATCACTCATTCCTCCTCGTCATCAAGATACATGAGTTGGAATATCCCAGTCTACAGTTTAAACCTCTTAGAACAATCCTCATAGAGTTGGAAGCACCCTACTGAAAGGTCAAACTTAAATTTCAATATCTTCTCTGTAAGTGAATTTTTATTGACCCACTATCACCACAGTTCACCTCAATTTTAGAATGCTACTCTGCACCATGATTGTTAGAGCTTGATGAACTGTCATCCATCATCGACCCAGACCATTGGATGAATTTATCATGGCCGAAGAACGACTTGGTTATGTTCAATCACCCCACCATCATCATCCATTTCATTATTTTCTT